TATAAATTACAAATTCGAACGTATTTCTAAAAAATATTGCAACCCCAGCACTATTACTAGAGCAGTGGCTAAATATACATTTGTATCCCCATTCAGCTGCCCAATATATTTCATCATTCTTTGTAATATGAGTTTCTTGCAAACATACTATCGATAATACATTCTTTTGTTTCACCCAGTGGAAAAGACTGAACCTTGCAGGCCTCTAACATTCATAGATATTATTTTTAGGTTATTATCCATGAGAACGGCAGAAATTTTACGTATACATATTCTTGTACAGGAATGTATGAAGCAATTATTATCACCTTGAATTTATCATATGCATGGCTGTCACACCCACACTCACACACATAAAAACACAAAATACAAACATCTATAACATCCATGGTGTTGCAAAACATGCTGTAGATTTGGCTGCAGTTAAAATCGATAGTCAACAAGTGAAACAGCTCTATTTATAATAACTCTGAATCACCTTTGACAGATTTCCAATAGATGAAGAGTATAAATTACAAAATGAATGAGAAAAGGGAAGCGTGAAGGAGGGCAAAGAAAGTATGAAGGAAGAGCATACATGAATATAGTGAGTGACTGAATGACTGAGCAATAATGGGAGAGCTGAAGTATTGAACGTGGACGAGTAGTGTTGAATATGATGAATAAACAACTGAGTAAGTAGATTGGAATATGGATGAAAGATGATTTATGAATTAGTGGATGAATTGATTAAGGCGAGATTTTATATATTTGATGAATGAGTAATAAATTATTAACTAATAACAAAACTGATGAAGGAAAGAAATAACTTATAAAAAAAACTAGAGCAGAAATGAGAGGATCCAAAAGAAAGGTTCACATACCTATTTGGCTATTTTCATGACTTTATAGAGTTGTATATAGCACTTATACTCTAATCAATATCATCATAAATGTCAAATTTTATCCTTTTTCCTGATTTGGTTTTACCATACACAAATCCATTAAAGTACCATGCACTATCAATCTCCTGATGCCTGAATAATTTATTGATAAGTTCGGTATTCATCTTCGTCACATCCTCTACCAGTCTAATTCCTTTGCTCTGTTTAAAGTCTTTCCTCTTCTTGATAATTGAAAGTTTACAATCCAGACTCCAGAATTTGACAATCACTGGCCTTGACTATCCCTGTCGGCCTAGGATTATATGCACAGCCACTATGTCCCTGTTATCAAAATTAATCTTTGTGACTTCTTTCATCACTTTCGGAATTTTCTCTCTCAGATTTTCATTCTCCTTTTCCTTCAGCCCTAAAACGTTAACATTCAGCCTCCTTAAAAATTGTTTCATTTGGCTTGAGGCTGCACTTGCTTGTTTTGATCTCATACCATGCTCTTTCATGTCACTCTTCATTTTATCATTGTCCTTTTTTGCCTCTTGTAATTTTTTCGTGTAATTGGTGGTTTTCGAATTCCAGTAAATTCACCCATAATGTTATATACCCTGCATTCCTCGAATATTCACATATCCTCCCAACAAATATGAACCATTTCACTGTAAAACAAATTACTTATAACCGACAAAATCTACAAAGCAAATTTTATTACCTTCCACCTTTAGCCACCATTACTGAGTTCCCGGTTTGTTAGCAATTGCGATAAGTGTTATATCACATGGTCCAAACAAAGCGTGCAAAAACAGAGAATGTTATTTATCTCATTACATGTAAGATCTGTAGCCCTCAGTATGTCTGAGAAACTGAAAAGCTACACAAAAGGATAAATAGATCTGATTGGATGACAAAGAAGCTGTACAGATGTCTGATCGCAAAACACTTCTCCTCCCATGGTCACACTCTCAGTGATATAAATGTTTTGTTTATGTTTTGTATATGCCTATGAAAAAGACTCATTAAGAGTCGAAAGCGCTCAGGATAGTTAGTTACTAGTTTTGCACTGTTCGTCGTCAGTTTTTTTTAATCTATCTTAATCAATCCCTAACACACGTGATTTCTTGCTGGATCCAGTGCGCTTGAAAGGGTTGCTATTCGCCATATGATTTGTGTTCTTTATATATATATATATATATATATATATATATATATATATATATATATAAATATATATATATATATATACATATATATAAATAAATATAAATATATAGATATAAATATATATATATATTTAAATATATACATACATACATACATACATACATACATACATACATACATACATACATACATACATACACGTATGATGTCTATTGGTCCTTATCATATGCCTAACTGCTGAGTAAAGTGTGCTGTTTTATATCAGTATTATACACTAAAAATATTGATATCTGTTGGACATATAAACGTTGACACCCATAAATAAGAAAAAAGTATCCATGGACAGCAATAACTCTTCAACTGTTGCTTCAACACTGACAGAAATGTAGATATGTCTTCCAAAACGCCAGATGTGTGTAAGAGCATATTATTGAACAATGCTTTAAAAAGGATTGTCTTTTTCTAAAACCTGTCTAGTTCTTCTTACGGACAGTTAACCAGTAGTTGAAGTCGAGTTTAACAAACTTTGAGTTTGAGACGGTACGTACAGCTCTGAAATTATAAAAAAGCAGAGTAGTATGACTTTTGTACAATATATATATATATATATATATATATATATATATATATATATATATATATATATATATATATATATATATATATATATATATATATATATATATATATATATATATATATATATCAGATAGTCGGTATTGTTTTACTACAGTGCGTGCAGGTTCATATTTTTGATATTATAACAATGTGAGCGTATCACTTTATGTGATTCTGATTGGTCCAGATGAGATCATGAAATTATTGTGCATTAAAGTCTTTAATGGTTGGCTGCGACTGTGGGAAAAACGTTTTTAAACCCGCCTTCTGGAATGTTTTGAACGGAATTAACATATTTTGGCGGCCATTTTTTTTCCACGCGACTCTCAAATGGAAATTGAGGAAATATCATATCGGCTGTCTCAATATGGATATGTTACTCCCACAGGGGTTCATTATGTCATGTTTAGCAATATCATCATAAGAAAAATGGCATAAAACTTCAAGACAAGAACGACAATAACAAATAAAACTATGGGATAGCGGGGTTGGTGTGTGGGGTGGGGTTTTAAAACACACTTTTTAGGGTACTCGTGTATTCTACTGTCGGTCTTCTGTACCTGTATGAAACAATGTGGCAGCATCACATCGCATTTTTAAATCTGTTTTGAAAAATGGTTTTGTGGCTATAAAATGTTCCGTTTATTCGGATGGAAGCTTTTTCTTTGATTTATAGTTCGTAAAACAGTACTTTCTATTTTTACCAGTTCCGCTTTGTTTGGGACTATATTTTATGCACAACAAATGAAAGGTACACCGTCAGTCAAAATGAACGAAATTATTCGTTATTTTATCTATGTAAATAATTTCCACTGAAATAAAAACTATGTGATAAATAGAATTTCAAATAGGTAACGATTTAATATTAAATTTATAAAACTCGTTGAAAAATGTCCAGCTTTTGAGAGCCAAGGCTCTCAAAATCTGGACATTATTCAACATATATATAAAGATTCATCAACTTGCAGTCTGTAGACGGTGTGTTTTTGGTTATTAAAACTACCTTATACACAAAAATTTGTTTAATCATGTTTGTTAAGACATTTTATTTAAATTGGCTTGGCCGTCTTGTGAAGACAGAAACAGTTTTAAGTATAACTGCTATGGAAGTTACCTCAGAAAAATGGTGTATTCCACGTTCAGTTTTAAACAACAGGAATATGCGTCAACTAGATATCGGTTTCAGAAGAAAAAAAAACAGTCATATGAAGGCACTACAATAGTCTATGTAAATATTGCACTTTGAATGCTTCATTATATAGATAATAAATAATTGCTCTAAAAGAGTTTTCTTTTCTTCCACAGATTTTCTCTCTCTCTCTCTCTCTCTCTCTCTCTCTCTCTCTCTCTCTCTCTCTCTCTCTCTCTCTCTCTCTCTCTCTCTCTCTCTCTCATGTAACCATGTCTTGAATATAGGTGCATGCAATTAAGATAATTTTCAATATCAGAAGATTCTTAAGTACATCACAACTATTGCTGTATTTTCAATACGACTGAATTCTGAATTTACAGTTGAAAACAACATTAATTAAATTTAGTTTTTTTTCTTGTTGTTGTTCATCTTCTTGTCGGTCAACCATTATTTTAATTGTGTAATACCTACATGCTTCTAATGTATTGGGAGGAATATTCTGTTTGGACTGTGGACTTGGCGTGCCAGAAAAGGTAAACAATGCAGTCGATGTATTAATGCTATAAAAGATAATGTTAAACAATTTGCATCGAGTGCTTCAGTGGAAGATGGAGACAGAAAAATGAGGTTCAGAAGAAACCAAGCAAGTTTCAACACTTTCGGAGAAGGTATGTGTGTGTGTGTGTGTGTGTGTGTGTGTGTGTGTGTGTGAGAGAGAGAGAGAGAGAGAGAGAGAGAGAGAGAGAGAGAGAGAGAGAGAGTTGAATTTGGAAAACAAACCTGGAAATAGTCAACAAGAATAAATAAAGGCGACAGCAGGAAATGTTTAAAGTATAGTAAGAAGTAAAGCAAGGAAAAATAAGGTTATATCTGAAGAACTCAATGTATAACACATATCTCAAGCACGATATTATACTCGATAGATAATGTAGTTCTTGTATTAGGAATTGGAGTTATTTAATTCGGAAGCATGCACAATGCATGCCTTTTTGTGATTTTGAATTTTCACGTAGCTTAAAAAAGTTTCATTCTTATCGTTATGATGTCTACAGTGGGGAAATTTATAATGATGTCTAACTTTGGGGCATCATGCGGCAGACACATATAATGTTGTCCCATCCGGTCATTTTATCCTGACACCAAGCCATCCAGTCCTAACACTAACCTCTTAATTATGAGCGCCAAGCGAGACAGCTGTTAGTACCATTTTTATAAGTCTTTGGTGTGACTTGGTCTGGGATCGAACCCACGACCACCAGCATCAGAGGTGGACGCTCTAACCACTAGGCCACTGGAACATTCCCAGATATGTGTATGTGAGCCCTATGCCCTATGAAGATAAATATATTGTCATTTATATTTAATTTATATTATTTTTATTGCTTTTCTCCGTGAGTACATGTTATGTATATCTGTTTTAGAAAAAGAAATTAGTAATTTTGTAAATAATCAGCTACAACAAAAAATTGCTAAAATTCAATAATCAGAGATCTACTAAATCGTATAGAGGTTGTGGGCCTTTGATTGCTAAAATTATACCATTTGCTTTAATCAGATGAGTAACATGAACCAGCATTTTAACGGCTGCTAATCGTACTTGCTAGACTCTCAGCGTCTTCAAAACATTATCTAGGCCGACATTGTTTCATACAATGTTCATGAAAATATCAAGCAATTACAAAGAGGTTATACACACACAGATTAAACATAACCATTGAAGATGGACATAAAGAAGTAGATTTCCAACGTGTGTGGGTGTGTGTGATTCGTGTGAGTCTGTGTTTGGTTTATAACCCACGACCTCCCGCCTCCGGAATGGACTCTAACCATTAGGCGACCGGAGCGGTCGATTTTCAACGTACCGTACGGTATTGTTTCGCGTGGCTCAGTTAAATTAATTTGCCTTTGACGTTTAGAATATAGAGTAATTAATTATGTACAGGCATAGTTGAAAAAATACCTTTAAGAAGTCTTAGTGTTTTTCAACTCAGTTCCTCGGAGAACACAGATAAGAATGAGGTAGCACGAGATCAATCAATAAACAGTGATTTAAAATTTTAAACATCCACCGTATTACAAATTGTAAGAATTATTTGATGCAGCTATTAGACAGTTTGCACAAAGACGTATTGACGCAAAGACATGATGACACAAAGACGTGTTGACACGAATACGTAAGGATTCGGAGGATATTAATTTGAAAGATATAAAAACATGGAGGAGAAGTTGATAGTAAATGATCAGCTGTAAATCAAACAAAATGAGATACTCAGATTAAATATTTACGAAAACAAATCGCTAATAGCAAGAACAATGTTTAAGACACAGAGGAATTATTCAAACAAAATTTGAGTGGTTCTCTGATTCTATAGAAACATTGCAAATTGTGGAAGAGGAAGCAAGTAAGTAATTAGTAGATTAGTTCCGTAGCACTGAACAAAAATATAAACTCAGAAATTGCTGCAATAGTTGCAGAAACAAAAGATAAATCTCTAGAAAACAACTGTACATTACAGAGTTAGAACAGTCAAAGAGATTTAAATAGTAAAATAGCCCCCCCCCATATCATGAAAATAAAAACACTGTCACAGTTGCAAATGAGAACGATATAACAAACATAACTATTCCAATATGACTGAAAGCATAGTCGATCTGTTACAACGGCATGCACTTTATCTCTTACTGACTTGGACAATATAATCAAATGATACCAGCTCTGAAAAAGCCCTAAACATCTTTCATGAAAACCAAAATAAAAAAGATACAAAGAAAATACAGATTGAATAGTATTATTATATACCAGCATTTGTGAGATCAAGCAAAAATAGAGCTCGGAACACTAATTATTTACAGATGGAGAACCAGTAGGCTGGTGGGGGAATAACTTTAGTATATGCATTAGAGTCAAGAAAATTATTTATTTTCATGTTGATACCATGTGTTTTATTTTCTACTGACAAAATATGTTATTTGAATTCTGCGTGCGATGGTTTTGGTGCAGTCTAGGTGAATGCCATTTTTAGCCGCACTAGACCCATACAAATGCCTGTTTTTCCAGGCTGAAATAAATCTCAAACTCTCATGGATAGAAACATGCTTGGTTTGTAAGCTAATCTGATACAGAAATTATAAATTATTTTTGTAATATATTTACAGTAAGTTATAAGGTAATTTGTGATCCATTTCACCAATGATAAACTTAAAAAGTAGAACCACGATCTGCTAATGTACAAAACCTCTTCAGTTTATTGTCAGTAGAAATAGTTTTAGAATACCACTTGACATTTATATACTAACAGATCATTGCCTATGGAATGAATTTATAAGTTCTTTCTTGTATAACGTTAAGGCGAGAGACAATTATTGATGTCGTAGCGAATACGACTTTGACAAAACTCACACTTGATTCACCAAGAATAATTAGTAATAGTAAGTCACTAAGTGAACTGCATTTGAAATGTCTTAAGACATCTTTATAAGACCGATAATTCACTTCTCTGATTCCTGATTGTCTATGACGTGTTCTGCTTCTGCTAATATTTTTTGCTCCATAATACCTTTAAAGTAACATTATAGGCAAAAAGAACGTTATGGATATTATAGTGTGCATTTTACTGCATAATATATTGTGGTCTTAAAACGATCTTTCAGAACAAAACTAATACCTGGACATATTTTAATATTTTGTCATTCAGTTTACTTACCTGAGATGATAGTAGTCTATCTTGTTAAATTGACGACTTTTTGATTTACTTGATCAGACTGATGCAGTAAATATTGTTGGGGTGTGGGTAATTTTAATAAACATCAGAGAAATATCAGAGAGCGGTCGTATCGAACAGACTTCAGAATGTAATATTTTAAGCAAAAGAGTTTTAAGAGTATGAATCTGCTTGGTTTATATTTGCATACAAACGTAAGCTGTGTGGATCTGGCAAGATTGCAATCTTGATCGGTAACAGGTGCTGCATCCAAATTTCAATTGCCATTTAAGTTTTGTTTGCAAACATCCCTCAAACGTCGTTTTCAGACTCGATTATGTTAATAAAGATAGTTTAACTAGCTACTTTAAAATATTTTATAAACTACTATATTTAATCCCAAAATTTTCCAAAAACGTTTGTACCGGTAGTCGTATAGTGAAATAGGTGTTATTGGCAATTCATTAAACCAACATTTGTGTTCGTCAAGATTAAATTTGCTGAGGTCTATATTAATTATCTCTTGCTGGGTTTATAATAGACTTTATAGTACAAAATAAACATTTCTGGTCTTAAGCTTATTGCCTCATTGCTTTGTGTAATCCAAATTACGTAAATCTGTATTGTCGCAGTTTCCTGTTACTGCTCTCTCTCTCTCTCTCTCTCTCTCTCTCTCTCTCTCTCTCTCTCTCTCTCTCTCTCTCTCTCGTGTGTGTGTGTATGTGTGTGTGTGTATGTGTGTGTGTATGTGTGTGTATGTGATACTAAGCAATATAATATAATATGAATGTTCTCTTACTGTATGTCTCGTATATAAATTTAGTTGGGGTTTTACACCACACAAATCTTTATTGTTTCTCTTTTTTCATGAATGTGAATTAACTTCATCAAAGAATACAAACAAATCCTGTTTAACGTTGTTATCCCCCATTTTAAAAGTCTCTTAAATGAGTTATGTAGCCTTCTAGTAACAAAATTAGTTTTAATTTGAATAATAAATATTATTAATTCATTTCTCGCTCAATCATTTCCGCTAGATTTTAGTATTTCTGCGTCGAGTCAACATCAATATTTTATAACTAATTACAGAGCAATTTTTTTTGTCAGGTAAAAGTTTAGAATCAAGTTTACTTTCAATGATTAAATATGATTATCTGTTTACAATTTTCCACGTTTTCAAGTAATTATTTTATGGCTGAAATAACTGATTTTGCCATTTCCTCCAATATAATATTAATAGCATTATATTGCAAGGGAATATTCATTACCATTTATGATCAATGAATTTTGTTACATAGGAATCTGAATTTAATTCTGCTTTCAAGCAATTTCCAAAACAACTCTTAAACTTGTTAGAACATCGTTTTTCCCCGTTTGTCTGTTATGACTTCTTAATTATGAACTGGTACGTAACTGAACCAATGATCCTCAATACTATTAAAATTAACTTTCCCATTTTTTTCATTATTTGTTTGCAAACTTTTTAGCAAATGTATCAGATACTTAATACTGAAAATTATATAGTACTGTGTAAAATTATATAGAATTGTGTAAAACTTTTTCTACAGTTTTGCTACAATACTAACAGACATCTGCAGTCTTTTTAAGCGGCATTTTTTCATCATGCAAGATGTTACAACATGTATCGCTTGCAACAACTTATTTTATTTTCTTCTGATGCTATTCATTGAATTTTTGGATAGCCAATTTATATATTCCATTTTTTAGCGACATAATATTTTCATTGTGTTTATTACTTTTAAGTAATTGATTGCATCATTTTCGGTGTTCTAAATCATACATTTTGTTTGCCATTATTTTCGTTTTCAAATGATTTAAATCTTGAACAGGTCATCTTGGTTTTTTTATAGAGATAAATCCTTCTCCTAAAACATCCCTTCGTTGTTATCATTTTAATCCTCACAATTATTATGCAGCCTTTTAGTTACAATTATTTGTCTGATTTTGAATATTTATTCCGTAAAATAGCCTTTTGTAAGAATATATGTATATTTTGATATCCCATTTTTTCACCTACTTTATATGTAGGTGCTGTATTGATATCAGTTGTTAGATAACCATATAATTTACAATATACTTTTGACATGTTTTTAATAGTTACTGCATTTAATAAGTAAAATATTTATTAAGATCCTATCCATCTATATGATTAAACTGAACCATTTTCTGGTTTCATGTTGATATTTCCACGCAAGATTTATATTAAGTCTACTACATATTATTTTGTCTGAAAATTGGAATACTATTCTGTATGATTATAAGATTATTTACCGTGATAAAACTACTATATTCTAATTTACTGTCTTTGAAATATTTCCACGAGAGCGCTGTTTATGTCGTCTTCTTTGTTCTATTATACTTCTTTGCATGTATTTTGAGGACATCTGTCACCGTTGATGTGCAATTTATATGTTTTTCACACACTTTGCATGTCAAGAATATCTGCCTATACTTTGTCATCCACGATACAAATATAGACTTTCTTTTATGGAAATCCTTTCTTTGTTTGCTTGCGTAATATGCATGTAGATTTTTCGGTTAACCAGTCATTCAATTCGGAGTATTTTATTCTCTGC